AGCTGACCAGATCGAAAACCGTCAGTCCTGATCATCCCCTACCGACCACCGAATCACCCCTAATAATGCCTCGAATCACCCCTGCCACTCCAATGGCAAGAGACCTTTTAGGCACCCCTGAGCTCCCTCAAAGCTACCTTACCAAACGCACGCCTAAGATCGAGAACCTCACGGACGGCAAAGAACCTACGTTCAAACAATAGCAAGCCTCCATTACGGACAGACTCGACATCAATGCGGATCACTATCGGAGTGAGCGCGCACGCATGGCGTTAGTATGGGGACACACTGCTGGTATCGCGAAGGAATACCTAGAGCCTGGATACCTAGCCAAATCAGATCACTTTCAGTTTAGAAACGCAGAAGAAATGATCAAGCTCTTGCGAACTTACTTCATTACTAGCAACAAAGAGACAGAGGCGCGACAGGCGTTTCAAACTCTAAGGATGGGCAAAGGAGAAGCGTTCCCTGCCTTTAAAGCTCGCTTTATTAGTGCTGCTGTTAAAGGGTCCGTATTGAAGTCAGAATGGTTCTTCTACCTATAGGAGAAGATACTGCCCAGCCTAAGAGTACCAAACTTAGGTTTCAAACACACTTAGGAGGGCTCCTTTAAGACTATAGTAGCCCACCTAACAGCCTACAACATGGAAAGAAGGAATACCCCTGCTATTTTGGAGCGAACTGTCAATCTCACCCAACAGTCCACTGTCAGACCTAGTACGGATCAGTCTCGGAAGGTTTCCGGTGATACATCCAAGGCGGTATACCATTCCAGTGCACCCCGACCTGCACCTCCGTTAGTACCCCGGTCCACCTCGGTTACCCATAGACAATCCAGCCAGACACCTGCCCCGGAAAGACAGACGACTCCCGGCAACTGTTACAATTGTGGAAAACCAGGACATTTCGCCAGCGACTGCCCTATCCCTAGAGTACAAGAAATAGAGGTGGAGCAGCAAGATTCTGAAGAAGAATTCGTGGACGCAAATAATTTCAATCCGGATGCCTCCCGGATGGGAAACGGCGACGCCTAGGGAAACTCTCCGTCCCAGGCTTAAGCAAGTACGATCTATCAAACATTAATCTGTCGCACTTGTTTGGAGGAAAACACTTCCGAGTCCCTACCGTTTTGTATTCAAAAAGCATCGGAGTCCGTTTAAATCCCTTAGTCAATACTGGCGCCCATAGTTTCCTGTTCATCAACTCACCAACTGCTAAGTCATTGTCCCAATGCCTCCATGTCCCTATCCAACGCTTACCATTCAAAGTCATGGTTAAGGGCTTTCAAGATCGGATCCGAGTCCCTGTCTACCAGTATATCCGCCTGCACATGCGAATCGATGGGAGAAGCATCCGAAACTGCCCCTTTGTCATTATAGACCTTGGCTCCCAGGATTGCATTATTGGCATCAAATAGTTACGTCGTTTTAAACTCCATCTAGATACGGAGAGGAATCAGATCATATAGCCCAGCAAATATCCGCCCACCTACGAACCTTCGCCGCCCTTGCTTATGCAATTGACCCAGCCCGCGCGCGACGAAGAAGTGGAGTTAGATATCAAACAACGCGACGCACTATGAGAAAAGGACCAATTTCGGCGGTTATGCAGCCCAACAATCCACCGCATCAAGGGTTTGCTAAGGCTACCGAAATCATACAGATCTCCTATTGTCCACAGTCCAAAGACACTCGAATCGTCCTTCCGCCCATCCATCAAGAAGTCCGGAACAGGCCCAAAGGAGGTCCGTTCAGCCACTATTGCCCTAATTTCAGCAAATGCTTTTCATTTTAACATGAAGAGGAAGGAGAACGAGTTCTTTTCGACTTCCATCTACGAAATCGAGCGGTTGATCGAAGACAAGCAAGCCCTACAGTCAGACGCTGAACGCGAAACTGAAGCATTAGTGAACCTCCAATTGCCATCCAAATACCATCAGTACCAAGATGTATTCAGCCACACCGCAGCTCACCAGCTACCGGTACATCGTCCATATGACCACAAGATTGTCCTTACGGAGCCTCTCCCCAACAGTTACAGTCCGTTGTACAAACAGAACCTTGAGGAGCTAGAGGCAACAAAGAAATACGTTATGGACAATCTGAAATATGGCTTTATCGAGCAGAGTCGGAGCCCCTTCGCATCTCCTATCCTTTGTGTACGGAAACCAAATGGCGACTTACGCATCTGCGTCAATTACCGCAAACTCAACGCTCTTACCCGCAAGGATGTGTATCCGATACCGCGCATAGACGAACTCCTGTCAAGACCCACCAAGGCAGCGATCTTTACCAAGTTCGATATTCGCGCGGCCTTCAACAAGATCAGGATGGATCCAAGCTCCGAGGAGTGTACTACCTTTCGGACACGATACGGAACCTACAAGTGTAAAGTCCTGCCTTTTAGATTGTGCAATGGTCCAGCAACTTACCAGCGCTATATAAACAACGTATTAATTAACTATCTAGACGATTTCTGCATTGCCTATCTCAATGACATCCTTATCTACTCCAA